CTACAACTCAGACTCTTCACACCCACAGTGGCAAATAAAAATTCTATCGTCTGCACGTTTTATTATTGACATTATTTTTACGCCCCTGAAATTTCCATGAGAATGCAACCCAACTAAAGAGGAGAAGAAAAGAGATTTATACCTTTGGGAAATAAATAAAAACAATCAGTTTTTTTTCGATATATAATAAATCCGAAAGTCTTTGGTTCGATTTCTCATGGGAACTCAGAATTTTTTTCTTTGTCCCTCGCTGTAACCAGGACAATGAATCACCTTTCTTTAGGTCATTACCGAGCCTCAAATCACTTTGTCTTTCTCTATTCAGTAGAGACTGTTAGAATGAGTAAGGTCGAAGGTTGCCTGTGAGTGACTCACATGGAACCTTCGACATTATTCATCCTAACAGTTTGTGGAACGCGTGCCATATATGCAGTATGCTAGGCCAGCGGCATCTCTTCGAGGACGATGTTATCCAAAGACTTTGCGTGTAGAGAGTGAATGGGAAAGCAAGTGCGCGTACTTTCACTCTTGGGGATTAAAGGGTTAATTTCGTATACAATGATACTGAAAAGGACGTTATTGTAATAGAACTTAACGGAAAGATGACGTCATATGCAAATATATTCTATCTCTCATCTGTTATTCTCAAAACGTAAAGCGCGTTTATATTACTTAACTACCTTTGACAACTCAGTCCTCTTCCTTGTTCAAGATGCCACTGTAGACTCGGCGTTGTTCTTTTTCCTCTGTTTCCTCTTCTCTTTTTTCACCCGCCTTTGTTGGCACAATTAGTAGATAGCAAAGGTTGTCATAACTATTACAAAATAGGAAAAAGCAATATTAAATTAAACTTTTGATCATATGATTCCGCACTGAGCTGCAAATAGCGACAGCGTTGGCACAAGTGGCTCTAGAGATTCTGTTTTATTGCACGAAGCTGACTTAAACCATCAAACAACCCTGGTATGTTATCCTGGCATGTTACCCTGGCATACTATCCATTTGCCTAGTCCACAGGTGTTTTCCATTCGCCAAAATCCGAACCTCACAGAGCGGGGAGCCATGATTTTATTCAGAGAGACCTGTCGAGAACACCCAGTCCCTATCTACCACTTTACGCGGGTAACGAGGTACGAGGTGAGAAAGAATGCTGTGCTTAAATCTTCAAGTGGCGGATAACAGTTGTTGTTCTAACTGTCGATAAATGATAAACAAAAATGATGTGAACAACTGATAGCAACGGTATTTTTTTCACAACTAACCAAGTGCCTGGGTCGCAACACTCTCCTGATCCACAGCTCTCGCAGTTACCACGTTTCTGAGGATTTGAAATTTTTAGAGAATAATTTAAATACCATGACTAAACGGAAAATTCTTATTTTGATTGATCTTTTATGAGTCACAAAGTTTACGTCGGGTAGGGGATATTGTCTAAGGTCGGGGGAAATTTGACAAAATCATGGCTCTATATTAAAAAAAAAACACTATTCAAAGGTTACAAATGTGCATCTTCTCCACCGCTCGATCAGCTAATGCGTTCCTGAAGATTTACAATATACAGAAAATAATTTCAATACTATGGCTAAATTGAAATATCTTTGACACTCCTTTATGTTAGAGAAGTGAAGTCAGGTGGATCATGTTGGTCACATGATTATCTTAGGATTGATCATCCAGGGTCGACATTAAGGTGACATCGAAGCTTCAACATCCCCTTGGGCAACCCACGGGCATTTGGACGCCGTACGTTCCCGGGGGGAGGAGAATTTGAACCTTGCCGTGGCGTGATGGGGCATTTGAACTTGAAGTGTAAAGTCTTTCCAGCGTAATACACGTGCTGTAATGTAGGAGCAGCACAAAAAAATGAAATGTAACTTCACTAACTTCTACAACATTCGTTGATCACACAAAGAATCTTTCAATATTAGGAGGGGTATTTGAATGTAATTTTGGCCCGGGAGAAGCGGGCGGGAATTTGAACGAGTTAATCCTCATAAGTTTAAATACCCTAGTGAAGGGATGTTGAAGCTTCGAATTGATCGACGCATAATAGACAGGATGGATCCTCATAAGGCGACAAAAAAA